TTTGCATCATTAAAACAAATGTTCCTCAGCATAAACAAATATAAGACATCTTAAAATAATATTCCATAATGGGAGTCCATTTGCTGAAACTGGAACCCGAGTAAAAGCTCAGAGTTCAGAACTTTTCAGTAAGGGCTCAATAAATATCTTCAATAGACAGAGGCATTTCTGGAACAAAGGGTGAGTGGAAACTGAGAAGGCAGTATTCTATACAAAACTCCTTATAAATCAGAACATCATAGGCTCTCTTCAGACCCAAATGGTGAGAGTCCTTACTGAAGGACAAATAAAACTTTCTCCCCATGGTGCTTTTGGTCATGACATTTATCCAGCAACTGAAAGCAAACTAGTTGGCGGCTGAAAAGTAGGTCTGCAGCTAGGAAAACATGAGTTTGGGGGCAGTGAATACAGAGTACCAATTTGAAGTCATAGGTTTGGACAAGTTTGATCAGAGAAAGTATGTAAAAAGAGGAGGAAGGAGGGCAGAAGACATAAGAGCAGAAAGCAGGAATGTTAGGAATGGGCAGCGGGAGAGGAAGCAGAAAAAAAAAAATGGAAGGGCCATGTCGTGGGATAAGGGAGGACACGAGGTCTCCCAAAGAAGTGTGGTCTGGTCTCAGCAGTTGATAGTCAGAGATCAAATAAGGTCAAGGCTGGTGACCCAGTAGAGTTGGCAGTTGGGTCCCTGTTATGGATGAGAACTCTGTCTGGGCCCTGGGAAAGTCGGGATTCACAGTCACTACCCAAGACCTGTTGACTGGGAGATGGACAGTAGGAAGTGAAAAGGAAGATTTGTCTGAACTTAGCATAAGGCCAGAGGCTGTTTTTTTATGGTGTGGGTAGAAGATAACCGTGGTCAGGCTATTCAAGAAGCTTGTCTCATGTCCCATTGCCCGCTAACTAACCTTTACCTTTCTAATTCTATTGAAAGCTGAGTCAAAATAAGGAGGTAACCCCACAAAAGATGGTGTCAACAACCTTTTCTGTGAAATTCACAGATGTTCCTGCTATGTGAGTAGGAAACCACATTTTGGATAAGAGGTTAGAAGAGACAAATTCTGTGAAAGGGAGCGTTTGTTTGTTTGTTTGTTTGTTTGTTTGTTTCCAGATGGGAGAATGTTTTAGTTAGAAAGAAGTACCTAGACTTGAAACACGAGTCCCTCACCCCCCAACCTAGCGTTTTCTAGGCTACACTGATTATGGCCTTTCTTGGAGAATAGCTCAGTGCAGGTCTCCCCAACTTAATCCTTTCTAGTGTCTGGCCCATGGAAATCAGCGCCATAGACCTTTGAGAGGGATAAAGGACTCTCTGAGTTCTACTTACTTCTGTTGCTACTAATCCTGTAACTGCTTCTAAAATGGACAGATGGGCAGAATATATGAGCCAGCCTGCTGTGGGGAAGGAGGGGACAGCCATGTGTGTCTTCATGCTTGGATGCACATGTTCATGTCTTAGAGACATCAGACCTGCTTTCTTCGTTCCCCTCTGGGTCCCTTCCCACATTGGAACATGGGTGTCAAGCCCAAAGGCTGGTTTTTCCTTCCGTAACCATTTTATGATGAATTTATACATACAAAAGAAACACCAGGAAGAGCACACTGGGACTATCATGTGCAGGCACCCTCAAAGAACTTAGAACCTCTTGTGTGAAGTGAGCTGCCTAGAGACCTATGATGGCATGTGTTTAAGGTCAGAGTTCTGCAATTGATTTAGATAAATGCTCTTGGAAAGGTTGGTAGATGGTGTGTTTGTGTGTTTGTGTGTATCCCTATGCACATTCAAGAAAGACTAAGAAATTAATAGGATGTGGTTGGTAGAAGAAAACATGGTGTGGGAAGTAAGAGTCTAATGAAAGACCAGGGCAAAGGTGAAGGCTTAAGGAAGCAATGTGCAGTATCTGTTTAGACAGCAGGGAGTACCCTATGTAGCCATGATTTGGACTAGGAAGATGAACTTGGAAATGAGGCTGTGCTGGGCAGATAACAGCATGGCTTTTAACATTGAACTGATAAATAGGCAAGAAAGGCTGCTGGAGATATTCCAGCAGGCTGCTGAAAATATCAAAGTATCCCTTTAGCAAAACTAATCTCTCAATGATAGTTGAATGGAAGCAACTGAGTTATCTGGATCTAATACTAAAGATAAACCTAAATAAATAAGTGAAAAAGCAAGGATTCAGGGATCTAGGAAGAAAAGACCATTTTAGAACCAAGTCTCGATTCCAGGAATCTTTCCTAAATACACGCTTACAACATATGGATAAAGCTATTTTTTGAAGACTGGCTATGGTACTGAAAGATTAGAAACAACACAGAATCTGTCAACGGAGAGCAAGCACATACACACAAGGGGAGAAGGACTTGTTGAGGAGCATGAAGGACCTCTGTGTACTGTCAGGGGGTGTCTGAGTGCATCTTTAGGGAAAAGGGAATCACAGTGAAGGGCAGCACTAGTGTTTACTTCTTGCGTACATAAGAGGGGAATAGACAAAGAGTATGCGAGATAGACAAGTATGATAGCGAATGCTTATGATAACAGTAAACCAGGTTGAAAATGAGGCCTCAATGTTTGCTGTTCCATATGACTTCAACTTTTCTTTCTTTCCTTTATTTTCTAAGATGTTGTATTATGTAGCCCAAGCTGGCCTCCAACTTACTATGTGGCTGAGGATGATGTTGGACTCCTGATCCTCCTGTCTCTACCTCCCAAGTGCTGGCTCGATTTTAGCATTTCAACCAAAGAAATAATCTGTCCTAAAATGATCGTGGCACAGGAGGGCACAGCAGCACAGGTGTGTGACCTACAGCAGCCAGGAAGCTGGAGCAGCAGTAGGATCACAAGCTAGAAACCAAACCACAGAGCAAGTTCAAGGCCAGCCTGGGCTACACGACACTTGTTTTCTCTACCCACCCCAGAAGAAAAGGTAAATTCCCAAAGGTGACTTTGACCCCAAACAGGCCATTTTCATTGATGAACAGATCATGAAAGGAGAACTGGAATTATTGAGTGAAAAGTGTTTTGTTATTGTTCTCTTGTTTGTGAGATAGGGTCTCACTATATAGCCCCGGCTAGCCTCAGACTCACAGAAATCTGCCTGCCTCTCACTGCTGGTATTGAAGTCATGCACTACCAGGCCTGGCTGGGTGCAGGCTTTGATGTGTTGATTTTGCATTTCAATAGAGAAACCTGCTATTATCTTCCTTGGTGCTAGAAACCTGGGGACAAAATGTGAGGATGGAGAAAGGAAATCATAAGCACAAGGACCACTGGAGACTAAGACTTGGCAGGAGACATGGGTGTGACAAGCACTTGAAGCTAGCTCGGGTTGCAATTACAGGAGTTCCTCAGATTTCCAAAATGTAAAAAGAAGAAGAATATGCAGAAAGACTTGAAGAAGGGCGTGGCAATGAGTGGAAACCTTGGGAAAGACTTGCTTAGCAAAGAATTGGTTAGGAAGGATCAAGTAAATAATGGTATTTGGTGCTGTGGCAAAATTGACAGTAAGAAATTGTGATTTGATGTATTTGGTAGGTCTTTGGAGACCTCAGAACAGTTACTCCACAGTGGCTGCAACAGAAGACAGTTTCCAGA